GATTCCGTGCACAGTAGATACCGGGGCACTGAATTCGGTGCCCCGCTAGCATCCAGAAGAGAGCGTCCTTTCTGCACTGTTGCACAGTGTGCGAAATCGAGAACTAAGCTGCTGCTGATTGGAATGCTTCTCGATCTAACTTCACACGGAATTATTTGTGTTTTTCCATATGTGAATGGGGGGCACAGGTGAGCGTAGAATGAGTTTTTGGCGTATGCTTAAGTCGTGCGTCAAAGAAAAGCGATTTCGCCAACCAGTGAAACTGAAATTGTGCGAGCGCACATCCTTCATGGACAGTGTGCGATCCGAATATTTTTGAATTTTCTATGAATGTTGGGAGTATCGCAAATACACCCAGCCCGTTATATAGCAAGAGCGTGAAAACGAACTCATCTTACAGCTAAGGAATGAAACACAGAGACTGTGTCATAAAATTTCTTCAGACACATGAAATTCAAGTGAAATCCTTCTCTTCTATTTTTAAAGCATTGGCGCGCGTTGCGGAATGTTTAGTTTGGCACACTGTTAGCAGCCGACTCGTTGACGAAGCTGGGCAAGAAGCGGTATTTTTCGGCGAATATTTGTCGTTGTCCCGTATGCGGACCATCAAGTGTAAGATGAGCTTCTGCCTTTGGCATGGGCTATGCGTACGCACAAGCCTATCAAACCGTTCAAATTGTAACACCGCAGACAACCTCTAAACAGAACAGAATCATACAAAAACGCATAATTTCACATCGGAAAATTCCGTGTATCGCTACCGGGCGTTATACTGTTTGGTGTTGACCAATGCAATTTGCAGGTGATTGGTGAGTGCGCGTTTTGGGCAAGATAACCCAACCGATTTATTCTGTTTCCCGTTGCAGTACCGGCCTTTTTTTTTTTGAAAATGACCCAGTTGTTCAATAATTTCATTGATGTATCACGGCGGCATCCAATCCTTGGCTTTTTCTTTTGAGCGGCAGCGGTCTTTGGCTGCGACTTCGTTGCGTTGAAAACACCAAAGCCAAACGACAAGAAATATGAAAACTCCCGTGCCAAAGCACTTCAATTGCTAGTTGGCGGCAACTTTTGAAAATCTGCCTAGGGATTTTTTTTCATATTTATCTACTAAGCTCTTGCTACAACTTACCACTGTCATGCTCAAATGTGCTGGACTCCACTGAGCGCATGCCACTGTTTAGCAAACCGTTTATGATTTATGCAAAAAATTTTGAAGACTGGAGTCGCGTTTCGTTTCAGCCATGCGCATCCGAAAATTCAATCGATTTTAAAACGGTGCAGCAAAAATCCGACCAAAAATTTCCTGACTTTTTGTTTCTTTGAGAAATCGACTTTGGGTGTGCCGGCGGAGAAGTGAACAAGTCAGCTAGGATTCTCACATATAATACAGTTGCAAAATAAAGATTCAGAAATTTAATATACATATAGAAAAAAAATGCGAACATAGCAGGTGGCTTGCTTTTTTTGGATCAAATTATACAAATGTTGGCTGAGGTGCCGAAGAGCAACAGGATGGTAGAAATGATGATTTTTTGTCGGAAAGGGTGACACCATCAACATGAAATGCGGAACCGAGATGATCGCTATCTTCCGAGTCCGAGTGCATGTTGGATACCAACAGACGATCACGCATCGCTGCTGCCAGATTATGAAATGCCTCCTCACAATTAATACCTGTCTTGGCACTCACCTGCAAAAATTTCATTCACATACACTCTGACACTGATGCAACAATCCAGAATTCAGTTGACTGCGCAACACAAGTCAAACAAAAACCTCGTATAATGAAACTCCCAGTTGACTAGCAAGACGCTCGGCGCGTTCGAAGTTCACCATTCGCTTATCCTCCAGATCAGCCTTATTGCCAATTAGCATAAGTACTGCATTGGATGGCGCATGTATGCGAATTTCCTAGAATAATACGTGTTCAAAGTATTTTTACCTGAAAAATGTACCGATGCTGTCCGGATGATAATCACACTGTGGTTACCCAAAGTATTAGTGCTGTTACTGAAATAACCCCCAAACATCGGATCCATTATTACCAAATATTTTGAAAACAAATGTACATTTTAAATACGAATATATACTATCAATACTGGGTGGAGTATGTGTGGTGGGATTTGGTTTAAAAAAAAACAGTTGTTTGTTAGTTCCAATAACAGGAACAATTTGGCTGGAAAAAGTCAGGAAATCATCAAGAAAATCAAAGAAATCATTTTCCCGGATCCGGCTAAGTGCTGGGAAACAGCAAAGATACGGACACAGATTCGATTAACGGCCAGCACGAACAGCGTAATCTAGCCCGTCAATTTTCTACGTATCCTGACTTTGCGTTGGTTTCTGGTTTGTGCTGATTTCGGAGCATGATCCAGAACTATG